GCCTGTTCCGCATCCCTTTTTACGTGCCTGAGTCTTAGGGGCAGGTTGAAACAATGAGGGCCTGAAAATGGCCCTCCGTTTCAGGCTGAAAACTCTGGGTCTGAAAAGACCCAGAAATAGGCTGAAACTGGGTAGGGCCTGCAGGCCCTCGTTTTTCAGCTTTCAGGCTGAAACGAACGGGGCCTGTGAGCCCTAAGTTTTAGGCTTTTAGGCTGAATGTCCGGGACGGGCCCTGCAGGGCCCGTGTGGCTACGCACTATGCCACAGGCCATTACCCAGCTTTGACTGAGATTACTTTAAGAGAATTTTGAGCTACTTCGAAAATTACTACGACAAACTACAGAAAAAGGTCTGCCCACAACAAGACATGCCACCACAGAGGTCCCAGAAATGCTCAAAACACTGTGAATCCCTAGCAACCCCTCTAAAGCTCTCCAGCACTGTCTTACTCCCTGCCGAGCTCTTCCAGGCCTCACACCCCCACCCTGCTGGGTTACAGGGCAACACAACTCGCCCCAGGTCCGGCCAGCATCGTCCCAGCAGCAACCCTTGGTTGTCCCTTGGAATGCCCACCCCAAAGCATTCCCAGATCTCTCTACCAGGCCTAGCACTCCTGCATCGGCCAGCATCGTTCTGGCGTCGAACAGCTGCAGATCACTGAGTATATCAGCAATGCAGTCGTCTAAGATGAGTTGCTAGAAGTCCCCAGAATCTTAAATCATTCTTAAGACCCCCATTGGCAACCAAAACCAACATACCATGGATAAAGGAAAAACTCGGAAACACACATGGAAACATACATGGCAACTACTCAAAACTCTACCTAAGAGTGCGGGGATTATTATGGACAACAAACTTGAACAAAGTGATTACTAATCAGGAAAAGAAAAGGAAATTCCAATGTGGCAATGGGCACCATGACAGTGGTCCAGTCTGTAGAGGGGGACGTGGGGGATGATGAGCACGGTTCAAGGATGGTCACTCACCCGGATGTGGTGGGGCAGACTGCAATAGTGTCCTCTGGGACGGTCTCACAAACTGATCTGCCTATACAAGTGGTAAGCCACGCTGCTCATTTGCCGTCACTGCAGACACTATAGGTGACTCATTCGCAGCCCACGATTGAGCAGTCCACAAAGCAGTCACTGCAGGGAGATCAATGGTCACAGTACAATGCTGACTTCCCCATACAAGAGGGAGCCTCAACACAGGCACTGCATGCTCTTCCCTCGCAGCATGAAGTACAGCAGGCTGTTCAGCAGACTTTGCAGCCTGGTCAACTGCTTCAGGCAGTACAGTGCAATCCTACAGTAGAGAATTACTGGTTCCCGAAGTTATTCTGCAGTAATGCCCAGGCAACAGATTGCGCAGAGACAGTTGATACAGTCCTTCAGCCCACTCAGCTGGAGCGGATTACCCAGACGATCTATTCCCAGCCCGGTCTACAATCTCATTTGCCCTCACAATTGGGGGGGCTAGTATATCTAACTGAAGATTTACACATACCTGATTTAGTAGTAGTGGCAGAGGGGATAGAGGTCAGAGAAGGGTCTCAGCAGAAAGATCTCGAGGACATGGAGGAAACAGAGGAGGAGGAGGAGAAAGTGGAGGGAAATCTATTTTCTTCACCTGGTAAATCGGCTTCGTCCCAGCTTATGCTAGTAACTGAGCTTACAAGTAAGAGATAGGACAGGGGGATCTACCTCCTACTAAAACTGGTATCTTAATATTACCATTGAGAAGGAAAGATGATAATTGGGAGGTGGGGTTATCAGAATCCCTGGGGGAAGTATATGGAGAAGTAACAGTCCAGTCAAAAGGTATCGATGGAAGAGATTGTCCAGATGTTATCTGTATCTAGGAGACCCATCTGATGGACACAGATAATCATCATCACTCTCATAATGAAATATGGCCACATCAAGCTTTCAGGGAACGTGCTCTGAGACCTAGGAGTGTGGGGTGGCCATTTGGATACCCCCAGACTCCAGGCAGGAACCCATATATTGGGAAGCTAACAAGGTAGAAGGAAGGTGGGTTTATGCATTGGCAATGTTTCAATCAGAAGTGGTGAGTATTCTATGAGTATATGGACGCAATCCTATGGGTGCGAGGCTACGCCCGCTTAGCCCCTACGGGGCCCTATTTGCAAGGTCGGCCGCCCTAAGTGAAGGCAGGCACGACAGGCCCTTCTGGCCTCGTTTTTCAGGGTACCCCGCATTGGGGAAAATTCAGGCAGTTGCGCAGCGCCAGTTGGTTGAATGAACCCAGGCCCTGGGCCGCCTGTGTGAATGTACGAAGAACAGGCCCTGGGCTGGATTCAGGTACCGGGCCGAACACAGGCCGAAAGCAGTTGGGCGCATGCAACCACTTCAGGCCCAAGGCCTGCTTTCCTCGTGACTGGGCCTCAGGCTACCGGGGCCTACTGGAAGCTTCCTGGACTGGACRCAGGCAGGCCACTTCGATATAGGGAAGGGSCTGCCTCTCATTCGGYATTCGGGTGCTGGCTGCATGCTGCRCAAGCGCTGGTGCGCTATCTSCTGGCTGGCTGGCACTCACGCTCTCACGGGCGAGTAGGGAGGGAGCACGCAGCCATAGCCAAGCTGCGCTGCTGAATGCTGGGTGAAGCGCAGGGTGGTCCTTGGGTGCTAGTGGCATCTGTGCAGTGTGGATCGGGGTTGTGAGTGTAGCGCAATACATACCTGGTGCTGAAGCGGGCGACATTGGTTGCGATATGCTCGTACTTCGGGAACGCTGTTGATGTCATCATTCTGCTTCGTAGTATAGGCTAGATAGGATCTGCCACATGTAGTCTGGGCGCCGAGCG